TGGAGGCATCTGATCCCTCTGATACCTGACATCTGGAGCCTGGCTTTGGGGTTATCCTGTTCCCCGGGACACTGACTTTCTTAGACTCATTCTGACTGATCATTTGGTCTCCTGGTTCCCTCCCCCAGGTTCACAGCTTTGGCCTGGAGCGTGGGCTGAGCAAGGGGGGAGGAAGACCCCTGGATGAGCTGCTGGGCTGCCCTGGAGTCCCCCATGGCCACTGTACCCCTCCCCACAGTACCCAGGCTTCTTAGACGTGATCTCATCCAGCTATTAGGACCCCTGGGAGGGATGGGGGAAGAGTGGTGGCCCATGAGCCCACTCAGCCCCTCCTCTGTGTCACACAACTGGGAGAAACTGAGGCCCAGTCTGGGTTAGGCAGAGCCACTGCTGCCTGTTTTTTTCTCACCTGTCCAGCAGGTCCTCAGCCCAGGAAGAGGGGTTGTGTGGGGCTGTGATCTCTGACTGAGAGAGGCTGGAAGAGCTGCCCTCCCCAGTAGTCTCTGGGGTGTTGGACACGGAACCTTTCCCTTGAGACCTCAGGTATGGGTTGGGCCGAGGTGAGGGTTGGGCTACAGCCCTGGCCAGCTCCTCAGTGCCCCAGCCCCGTTTGGGCTGTAGCTCAGAATCCCACAGGGACACATCCCGGCTTGTCTGTATCCAAAGCCTGCGATCCCTTCTGCTCTCGCCAAACGCCATTAATGGCTTCTCCCAGCTACTGAACCGGCAGCTGCCTCCAGTGCTGGCGGTCTCCACTCCTCCGGGGCCGCCCCCGCCCTCTTGTGTCCTGGCCACCGCCCCGTGAGCACTCACTGCCTGCCACTGGCGTTGCTGCTGGCAGCTGGAGCAGTAGGCTCAGGTTTCCAGCTAGCAAGCAGTGGCCCTCCTTGCTCTGCTTGTGGAGGGCACCCAAGCTGCAGAGCACTTGGCAGCCGTCCACCAAGGCCAGCCTGTGTGCTTATCCTGAGCGGGGCTCTGGCTGCACTGACCCTTAGTGCCTGGTCCCTTTCTTCCTGTGATGTGCACTGCTGACTGAGGGCCCTCTCCAATGGCCGCAGGGCATGAGTAGTTTACCCCTTGGATAGGGAGACCTTTAGCACTGTTCCTCACCTTGGCCTGTGGTTCCTACGAGCTGCCCTTTGCATTGAGCATCGTAGCTAGCAGAGGATTGCCCTTTGGGAGGACAGATGGGCCAGTGGGAGGGGCCAGAGCCACCTGCCCACTTATAGGAGATGGAACCCTCTCAATAGTGTCCTGTCAGTGGCTGGTAGGCAGAGGTGAGCTTCTTCAGAGCTGCACCCTCTTGTTGGGTCACATGGGTGGTGTAGCCTTGCCTTCCTGCCAGACCTTGGGGACGTTTGCTTGGCTGTAGACACCTGGGGGTTTGTCCTGGGCTGGAGAGAAAGCCTGTGGCATTGAGGGGGGTGGCATTGGAGGGTAGGGGCCACTAGGAATACCTCAGGGAAATCAGCTGCTGAGGGCCAGACTGCTTTGCTGGGGACAGGAGTCACAGTTGGGAGCGTCCATGTGTGAGGGCAGTGCTCAGAGCTGGGAGAGTCCTCCTGAGGTAGATTTTGGAGGTGCTTGAGTTGAGGACCAGGAAGGGTTTGATGTGTGGAGCCCTGGACCACCCCTTACCACCACCACCAAATTGAAGCAGCAGCTGTGTCTGAATAGTGGGGCTCAGAATAGGCTTTTGCTCCTCAGCTCATAGAGATGTAAACTGGCCTGATCCTGTGTCTCCCATCTGGAGAGGGCCGGGCAAGCTGGGCTTAAACAGCCTTCAGGCAAGGGAGGATCTCTCCACACCTGCGGACCCTGTGGGGGATGGCTCAAGGCCCTCCAACTATGGAGGGCTGGCAGGAGGCTGGGCAGATGGCCCCACAGGTGCCTGGGGCTCAGTGGTGGGTTCTGCCAGGCCCAGGAGGAACAGACCTGCAGGAGGGAGGGAGACTGGGCCAATCTGACAAGGAGTCCAGAAGGCAGCTCCTCCTGCCTGGCCCCTAGTTCCTGATGGGTCCCCCTTGGCCAGTTTTGACTCTAGCAGAAAGAGATTGACTCCCCTCTGGTCTGTCATCCAGGCAGGCTCTAGTGCAGCCTTTGGGCTCAGCATCTCTCACAACCTTCTGTGGGGTCAGGGCAGCAGGTGAGCCTAGAGCAGCCAGTGGCTCTGAGCACTTTGACAGAGATAAGACTCCCCAGGAGGGGAGGTGGCGGCAGCGGCACAGGAAGGCCTCAAGAGCTCTGAGACAGGCGGCTGGGCCATTCGTGCAGGGGGTGCAGGGGGAGCTGAGTGAGTGCTGAACACTACCCGCATTGTAATCGGAGAGGGGCTGGGGAGAGAGACTGAGCAGCGGCTGACCCCGTGCTCCCGGGGGACAGGTGGGAGAAGAGAACGAGGAGAGAGTGAAGGATTCCAGAGGTGGGCCGGCTTCCTCTCTCGCAGACAGACACGGGAGGGAGGTGGGCAGTGGGCCAGCCCCATACCTGCAGTTCCAATCTGCGGTCCTGACAGCTGCAGCCACTTTGGGGAGGGGGAGGGGCAAGGGCTCATCAAGAGCGGAAAAGTCCCAGCCGGCACATGGACGCATCGCTGCTGTGTCCATGCTGTGTCCGGTGCAATCTGGGGGCTGGGGACCCCTGCCCAGCCTCATCCCACAGGCTTGTCTTGGGGCTGGGTGGCCCCCAGGAAAGCACAGGTCTGTCTCTGCCTTTGTCCAGTCCAGGCTGGGGTCTCCGAGTGCAATGCCTGACCTGGAGGGGTCACATGTGTTTCCTGGCAGCCCGCAGGTGTTGAGCAGGGCGGGGGTGGCTGGCTTGGGGCGCAGGCGGCCTAGTGATGAATCATGTGGTGCCGCCAGCGGCTCATTCCCCAGGCTGGGGACAGGGAGCTGACAGCTGAGGCTGAGCCCAGCGTTTCCAACCCAGCTTGGCTCACAGGGGCGGCTGCTGGCCCAGGGTGTGGGCCAGAGTCCCCCTTCCCTTCCAGCTGCCTCTGTGGGGCACATGAAGAGGGAGCCCTGGGTCTTTGTCCCGCAGTTCTCCAGCTTGGTGGTGGGTGAGGCTGGACTCTGGGAAGACAGCCAGGGACTGTGGTGGGCAGGGAGCACCTGCCATCCCTTGGCTGTTGGCTCTCAGCTGCATGGACTCAAGTGGGGCCATGGGCTGGGGCCGACCCGCATCACCTCCAGTCTGGTTTGAATCTGGAGCAGCGGAGGGTGACTGAGTGTTTCTCCTTACCCCTCCTCTTCTGCTGGCTGTTGGGCTAGGCCCTCGGCTGCTGCTACCGGTGCAGCTTGGGGAGTGGCTGGGCCGGCTGCCCGGACCTGAGGCTGGCCAAGCTGCAGCCGCTGTCGAGTCAGGCCCCTCAGCGGAGGCCTTGGCCGGGCACGTGCCGCACCCTGACCATTCCAGATCCCTGGGGGTCCTTCTAGCCCTGAGGCCTTCATGTCTAGCCCCTTCCCCTTTCACCTGGCCCCATTGGACACCCCAGCCTCTTGCTCAGTCTCGCCCAGTCCCACGCGCCCGCTTCTGAGCTTCCTTGTCCTGTCCTCCTGCTCTGTTCCACTTTTCCAGCTGGCTTTCCCCTCCTGAACTGGGCTTCAGATCATGCAGTGCCCCTCAGGTGCTGGCCACCAAGTCCTTCTCTTTGAGAGCTTCCTCTCTGGGTTATCTCTGACACCGGCCTGGCCGCTCTGACCACTGAGGTGGGTGCCCAGGTTTGTGTGGGAGTTTGCACCTCTGCCTGGGCCCAGGCCTGGAAATGAGGTCTGTGGGTAAGGGGCAGGTGACCCATGGGGCTCCTCCTTCAGCCCCCAGCTGCAACCCTGCGCCCCAGTCCTGGCTTCCCTGGGCAGGGATTTCTGCAGTAACTGTGCCCACTCCTCCCCCTCTGGCCAGCTGTGGGCTCCTGCAGGATTAAGGGGAGGAAATTTGGGGTTGGGTTTCTCTCTGAATGAAACCTGCCGCTGTGACTTTTTATCCTGTTATATTTCTATCAGATTGGACACAGCCCCCCACACCCCCCTCCAATGGCCCTGGCTTTGAGAATTTCCTCCAAAATTACACCGCCACTTCCTGCCCCACAATTCCCTGGGGCCCATTCGTGCAGAGGAGGGGCAGCTCTGGCCCTGCCCTGTGAGGGTGCCCGTGGGGGACCTCAGCACCTGGTCTCCCCCAGGCAAGGATGCAGTACTGCCTGTTCTGAGGGCAAGGAGGGCCAGGGGTCCAAGGAGAGGCCTGGGGCTGCTTAGCCACCCACACCTGGTGCCCTCAGCCCCCCTCCCTGTGTGGAGGGGTTCTGCATGGAGCCGCCTGGCCTTTCTTCTCTGCTATGCCCACAGAGCTCTGCCATTAAACTAATTGTCACCTGCAAGATTTTAACGGTCGGCCAGCTGTGCATGGCGCCTGGTGGGGGCCTAAATCCACCTCCCTGGGGCCATGGAGTCTGTGGGGGAGGACACAGTGGTAGACTGCCAGGAACCTTTTCTCAGTGTGCAGCTGGGTCAAGGCAAGATGGGTCCTTCCTCTGAGTACAGCTCATAGAGGCCCTGGCAATCCAAGGGCCCTCAGCTCTTTTGGGCCCAGTTGGGCATCAGTGGGGGCACTTGGTGGCTAGCACCCAGTCAGGCCTGTAGGCCCACTCTGCTGGGTGGCACCACCTGTCAACACTGGGCCTGAGGCCTGCAGGCAGTGAGGTCGCTTGACTGCCTGCAGACCTCTGCCATGGTGGCGGGCCTGCCCCCTCTTTTCCTGCCCTGCAGTGCCTCCCCTCACCTGTCCCTATAGTCCTCACCCCGGTTCCCCGACAGAAGACTCTTGATGGGTGCAAGGCCCGCCGTTGCTCCTTTGGCCTTGCTCTAGCCTCAAAAGGAGGGGTCCTTTTCAGAGACCTAGGGTGCCCCAAGCACCCCATACCCTGAGTTGGGAGTCCAGGCCTGGCTGGGGGTTGTGTGATAAGTTCAGAACTTTCGGAGAGCACAGTCTCCCCCCGTATTTGGAAGATACTGTTCCATTTTTAATTATCCAAAACTTCCAGACTTTATATTATCATATCAAAAACAAAATGCCAACTCAGCCCAGTTAGGGAGCTAGCATGGAAAGTTCTGGTGGGCTTTAGGTGAGTGCTCAGCTGTTCAGAGTCAAGCCTCTCCCCGTCTGTTCGTCCTGTCTGTCCATTGGCCCTGCTCACAGCCAGTGGCGGGTCTGGCCCGGTGGGCATGCTCTCGGAGGGCCTGTGCACAGGTCATGTTCGAGGTGGGGTGCTGCATGGGTCCCAGTGGCATCCACCTTCTCTAGTGGCATCCGCCTCTTGGCTGCTTGGGCCCTCCTCCTAACTTCGAATCGCCGTCTTTCTGTCGCGATCTTTGCTCTGCAGAAGGAAGGAGGATTGTCAGGGCCTGGGCAGTGACCTGGTGTCACTCAGTGCCAGCTCTGGCCTCTCTGGCTTAACATTGGGTGCTGTCCCAGGTGGCCAGCATTGAGGCACTCCCCTTTTAGGCTCCAGGCTCCCCCATGCATTTTGGGAAGGGGAGTAAACTGCTACACAGCCAAAACTGTAAAATTAAATTTCCCAGATGTTCAGGCCCCAGGAGCTCCCGTGTGCTGTCTGGAGAGGAAATGGGGATTGGGAAAAGCCGTTGTATTTTCTCCCTGTTCACCCTTCTTTTCCGGTGCCACCAAGCACAGCCCAAGCTGTAAATCAGCCTGCCTGCAGCTTCACCTACTGTAGTGCCTGGGCAGTCCAGGGGAGGGGCAACAGGTGCCCAAAAAGCCTTGGGGTGGTGGCAGTGGATCCCAGGGCCCCTCTCTGCCTCACTGCTACTCCTGGCAACCCATATGGCCAACTTCGTGCGTCTTGAGCTCAACTCACTGATTTCTCAACTTGCTGAGCAGAGCAGCTGAAGGAAGACCTGGTGCAGTCCCCCAGCCTCTGCTAGGGTGGTGCCTCCACTTGCGTGCTCCTGCACGGCCCTTTCTGGCCACCCCTGCATCCTGGCCCCATATTTACAGGTCCTAGTGACCCACTGCAACGGGAGCCAGTGTCCTAGGAGAGGCCCCAAGAGAAGGCCCCACACTGCCCTCCCCATGGACAGCTTCTACTTGTCTCTCTTTGCTAGGGCCCAGCTTGGGTGGCAGGTGTTCCCACCGTGGCCTACTAGGGAGAACCGCCCAGCACCTGGCCCTCTCTGGGCACTCGTGGCCCAAGCTCACCAGCTTCCTCTGGTTGCTGAGGCAGAAGGTGCAGATCTGCTTGGGTTGAGCGTTCTCGCCATCGCGTGATGGGGGCGGCGGCGGGGGGCTGCCTGCGCGGGCTGCGTGGAAGAAGGCAGGTCCCGCGTGGCATGGTTGACCGTCGCCGCAAGCCTCCCCCACCAGCAGCACGTTGCCCAGGTGCGAAATGTAGCTAGAGGCCAGGCGCAGCGTCTCAATCTTGGAGAGCTTGCGGTCAGCGGGCTCCGTTGGGATGAGCGTGCGCAGTGCCGTGAAGGCAGTGTTCACGCTGTTGGTTCGGTCCCGCTCGCGAGCGTTTGCTGTGTGCCGCTGCCGGGGTTCGCGGCCTGGCCGACCCCCGGACCCCCCTCCGGTCCCGGCTCGCCGGCCCCCGGCCCGCCGCCGCGCGCCCTGCAGGCCGCAGCGCGCGGCGTGCACGCGGCAGGGCTTTTCGTCCGAGCCCGAGCTCTCGCTACCTCGGTCCTCATCCTCCGACAGCGGGCTCACTTCGGGGTACAGGTAGCGGCCAGGCGGCGCCGAGCGCAGCATGACGAAGGAGATGGCCGGGGCCGGCGTCAGCTCCTCTGTGAGCCGCTCATGCCGCCTCCTGCGGCGGCCGCGGGCCGCGGGCCGGGCGCGGCGCGGAATCGGCTGCGCCCAGCGGTGGCGGCTGCCGGGCGCCGCGCTCACACGTGCGTCCGGGCTGGAGCGGGGCCGCGAGCCGCGCCTTTATAGCGGCCGGCCCCTCCCCCGCCCGCCTCTGTCGGCCCGCGGGCCGAGGGAGCGCAGGGCCTCGCCGATGGTCCGGAGCATCTCTGTGCTCAGGCGTGGGGACTCTGGGGAAGCGGACCTACCCCTCCCCGCGGCAGAGAGGAAAGTGAAGCAGGACCCATAGGCAGGCTCTCTGCCCTGGCCACGCCTTCCTGTTACTCTCCGGCGTCCTGTGCCCGCTGTGCGTTAGGGCGGCACAGAGCAGCGTGGAGGGGCTGCAAGTCCCCCAGCAGCTGCAGGAAAGAGGTTTGTGGGGAGTGGCACAGCTCGACTGTCCTGCACTTGGCCCTCTCCAGGTCTGGTACAAGCTATGCCTACGGCTAGAACCCTCTTCCCTGTCCCAGCTCATTCGTGCTCCCCACTCTTGGGAGGGCAGCCTCCATTCTGCTGTGTGCACCTCAGGCCTGCTGTATGGCCACAACGCCAATGGATAGAACCAGTCTCTCCCCAAAGTCTCTCCAATTTGGGGTTGGGTGTATAGGCTGGAAGGTGCTGGAAACCCCCCTCCCCTAGAGAGGAGGACATTCTTTTGGGGTGAGTGGGGTACCTGGAGTGGGCCTGCTGGAGGAGCCAGTCCAAGAGGTTCTATCCTGCTGCAGAGGGGCCTCCAGCACCCAGCCCCCCTAACTGTTGCAGCAGTCCCCAGGCTGGGAATGAGTGAGGGTGGTGGCTGGCAGGGGCTGAAACCAGGAATGTGTCCAGGAATGTGGCTGCTCTGGTTACCCAAGGGGGAGGTTGTAAGACCAGTGAGGGTTGGGAGGGGAGTCTTTGGCCACCTGCAAAGCAGAATCTAGTGGCTTCTGTCTCCTTGCTCGAATGGGTGGAGTGGGATCTTCCCCTTGTCTCTGTCTTGTAGCTACCCACTTCTGCCTCAGGCCCCTGCCAGGGGAGGGAGCCCACGGGTGATGAGGTCATTCCTGTCTGTGGCTGCCCAGAGTCCTGGCCAAGGAATCCAGTGAGGGGGGAGGCCAGGGTTGGCACCACTTCAGTGGAAAATGTGAAGGTGCAGCTCCGGCGCCTCAGAGGGCCGGGGGGGGGGGAGCAGCACCCGCTGCCTTGCCACGTCAGACCCCAGGGCTAGGGAAGGGGCACATGTCAGGAGTCACTGACCTCGGGGTACTTGAGGCTGGTCTTTTCACTCTCCTTTGTGCCCCAGGGTGACCTTATTGGAGGGATGAGCATGGTGGGGACAGGTGCTGATGTGAGGTCATGGCTATAGGATATCCGGAACACAGTGGGCAACGTGCCCCTAGAGTGGTATGACGACTTCCCACACGTGGGCTATGACCTGGATGGCAGGCGCATCTACAAGCCCTTGCGGACCCGGGATGAGCTGGACCAATTTTTGGACAAGATGGATGATCCTGACTTCTGGTGAGTTGGCCCTCAGGGTGGGGTCCAGGGGTCTGAGAGGCTAGAGGGAAGCTCTGACTGACTCCCTCCCCCAGGCGCACTGTGCAAGACAGGATGACTGGGCGTGACCTTCGGTTGACTGATGAGCAAGTGGCTCTGGTGCAGCGGCTGCAAAGGGGCCAGTTTGGGGATGCGGGCTTCAATCCATATGAGGTAGGCAGCAGCCACTGGCCCTAGGGGTGTGGAAGTCCCAGCAGGGCCTCAGCTTACACACCTGTGCCTGCCTCCCCAGCCAGCTGTGGACTTCTTCAGTGGTGACATCATGATCCACCCAGTGACCAACCGCCCAGCTGACAAGCGCAGCTTCATCCCATCCCTGGTGGAGAAGGAGAAGGTGGGAGCCACATTATCCCTGCGGTGAGGTCATTGTGCCACTTTTCCTGACTCAGGCTGTCTGTGTAGGTGTCTCGCATGGTACATGCCATCAAGATGGGCTGGATCCAGCCTCGCCGGCCCCGAGACCCCACCCCCAGCTTTTACGACTTGTGGGCCCAGGAGGACCCCAATGCTGTGTTGGGACGCCACAGGATGCATGTACCTGCACCCAAGCTGGCCCTGCCTGGCCATGCTGAATCATACAATCCCCCTCCTGAATACTTGTTCAGCAAGGAAGAGGTGGGCTTGCATCTGGGTGGGGGGCGTAGCCCAGCCACGACCTCTGAGTACCCTCTGCTCACCCCATCTCCCTCTCTCCCATCTCTCCAGCGCTTGGCATGGATGCAGCAGGAGCCAGCTGAAAGGAAGCTCAATTTCCTGCCACAGAAATTCCCAAGCCTACGAGTTGTGCCTGCCTACAGCCGATTCATCCAAGAGCGCTTCGAGCGCTGCCTTGATTTGTACTTGTGCCCTCGGCAGCGCAAGATGAGAGTATGTGGGGGCAGTGCAGGTGTCACACCGGGGGGAGGGGGGGGCGCGGGGGCGGGTTGAAGGTGACTGAGTACTCTCCTACCCAAGGTGAATGTGGATCCTGAAGACCTCATCCCCAAACTTCCTCGGCCAAGAGACCTACAGCCTTTTCCCACGTGCCAAGCCCTGGTGAGTGGAGGCCTGGGGACAAGCCCAGAGCCCCTGGTGGCTATCTGCTCACCACTCCTCCTCTGCAGGTCTACAGGGGCCACAGCGACCTTGTCCGTTGCCTCAGTGTCTCCCCTGGGGGCCAGTGGCTGGCTTCAGGTGAGCCTGCGGTGGGCAGTTCTTAGCTGGGGTCTGGGTAGGTAGGCCAGGTGCTGAGGGTCTTCTCTACTGCATCTAGGCTCAGATGATGGCTCTCTGCGACTCTGGGAGGTGGCCACTGCCCGATGCATGAAGACAGTGCCTGTGGGGGGTGTGGTGAGGAGTGTTGCCTGGAACCCCACCCCCACCATCTGTTTGATAGCTGCAGCCCTGTGAGTGTGGAGTCTGGAGGTCAGGGTGGTATACTAGAGGGCATGACTGCTGAATGGCCATGTCTGGCCTTGCTCTGTAGGGATGACACAGTGCTGCTATTGAACCCCGCTCTGGGGGACAGGCTGCTGGTGGGCAGCACAGACCAGCTTCTGGGTGCCTTCACCCCACCTGAGGAGCCTGCCTTGCAGCCTGCCCGCTGGCTGGAAGCATCAGAGGAAGAGCGCCAGGGTGGCCTGCGGCTGCGTATCTGTCACAGCAAGGTGTGTGGGGGGAGAGGCAGGAGGGAGCCGCAGCCTGGCTCCACCTCCACCAAGCAGCCAATACTGCTCTCCCACAGCCAGTGACACAGGTGACCTGGCACGGGCGTGGAGATTACTTGGCTGTGGTGTTGGCCACTCCAGGCCACACTCAGGTGCTAATCCACCAGCTGAGCCGGCGTCGCAGCCAGAGTCCTTTCCGACGTAGCCATGGGCAGGTACAGTGTGTGGCTTTCCACCCCACTCGGCCCTTCTTGCTGGTGGCCTCCCAGCGCAGTGTCCGTGTCTACCACCTACTGCGCCAGGAGCTCACCAAGAAACTGATGCCCAACTGCAAGTGGGTCTCGAGCATGGCTGTGCATCCTGTAGGTGAGCCTGGGGGGCACACACCTTTTGGGTAAGGCCAGGGGTGGTGACCCTACAAGTGTGGTGAGGACACCTGTTGCTGCTCTGGCCCTAGGTGACAACATTATCTGCGGCAGCTATGACAGTAAGCTGGTATGGTTTGACCTGGACCTTTCTACCAAGCCATACAAAGTGCTGAGGTAAAGACGGGGGTGGTGGTCCCCTGGGCACACTCCTGCCTGGACACAGCCTCGCCCCCTAAAAGCAGTCCTCCCCCAGGCACCACAAGAAGGCCCTGCGGGCTGTAGCCTTCCACCCCCGGTACCCGCTCTTTGCATCTGGCTCAGATGATGGCACCGTCATTGTCTGCCATGGCATGGTGTACAAGTAAGTGTTGGCCCCACTTGGCCCCCTCCCTGTAGGGACCGAGTGCGACTAGTGCAACTACCCTGAACCCCTCTCCCCCACAGTGACCTGCTGCAGAACCCACTGCTGGTGCCAGTTAAAGTGCTGAAGGGGCACACAGTGACCCGAGACCTGGGTGTCCTGGATGTGGCCTTCCACCCCACTCAGCCATGGATCTTCTCATCGGGGGCTGATGGCACCATCCGTCTTTTCACCTAGGCTGCTGCAGGGTGGGTGGAACGCATATGCCTGGACCATCAATAGAGGCCTTGCTCCTTGCTGCCCCACTTCTTGAATTAGCTCGCTGCCAAGCTGCCAGAATCCAGAGGGGCTGCATCACTGTACCCTGGCACCCACTTGGGAGCAGATGGCTTTATTGGGAAATAGGGCAGGCTGACTTGTCCCTGCCCCATCTGGCCTCCAGCACCTTCCTTTCAGAGGCAGAGGTTGGATCCCAGGTGGCACCTGTCCCCACCCCACCTGCCAGTGAAGGTCCTTGGAGGCTGGCCCGGTGTAGGCAGAGTGTATTGCTTGCAGGGGCCCTAGTTGGCCTCAGGCGAACTTCACCAGGCGGCCCAGTGTTTCCGCAGCCTTCTCCCGCACCCCTGGCGTCGGGTCCCGCAGCAGGAGCTGCAGTGCTGGGGACAGAAGGAGGGGTGGGTTGTACATACACTCTGTACAGGGCCGCCCACTACCTCCTGACAGACAGGCCTCTGCTGGGAGGGCTCGGCAGCCAACGGAAAGATAGTTTTTCCTTTTTTAGTGTTTTTAAAGCTCTTTTGGAACAGTTAAGAAGTTTCCGTGAATTACTAGAGACGATGAGGTCACCAGTGACAGGGAAAAAAAATCCTGAAATCCAGGAAAATCACTTAGTCCCCTCGGGTGCCCACAGGGTCTGAGAGGCCCCAGTGGAGCTGAACAGGTGGGAGGGGGGCGCTCACCCACAAGAAGCTGTTCCAGGTCTACCTGCAGCCGTTGCTCGGGCTCAGCATGCAGCACCAGGAACCCTGAAATGGGTGGGGTTAGGAATACAGTGTGCCTAACAGGGTAAAGGGGGAGGAGGCAGGTACGACTCACCTGTGAACATGGGGGCTGCAGCACGGACACCTTCCCAGCTGCTCTTGAAGTAGAACAGGTTGGTGCTCACCAGGCGGCCCAGCAGGTCAGGGAAGTGATGTATCTGCAGAGAAGTAGCCAGGTGATGATGGTGGTCAGCCAGGCTGGTACTGGCAGTAGGGGGACCCTCCCTACCTACCACCTCACCAGGAGCTTGCAGGTGGAGTTGAGGAACTCCCCAAAGTGCAGGCTTCGGCTCTCTTGGAGGTGCTTCTGGAAGGTGGTGGTCAACTCTGCACACTCCAAATTGGGAACACACATGCACAGGGCAAACCTGCAGGCCTGTAGGACACAAGGCACTGAGGCCCCAAGCCCTCTAGGCCACCTCTCCCTGCCCAAATGATACTGGGGACACGGCACTGAGCTGCCAGGCTGCCACAGCCTTCCTCCTTGCTGGCTACTCACACTGGCCACAGGGGCCTGAGGGTCCTGCAGGTGTAGCAGGAGGGGCACTAGCCCACCTACGACCTGCTCCAGGAAGATGTCCTCACAGTCCCCTTGGCAGGCCTTGTTGAGGTGCCCAAAGAGGCGAATGGATGTTGTCCGGAACTCCACCTTCTCCTGCCAGAGGTGTGGCCATGTCACCTCACAGGGCTTACCCTGAGCCACAGATGGCCCATGGGGGTGAGTGGAGGTGGACAAGGACTAGGACAAGAGGTTGGCAATGAAAGACCCACTGGTGGGGGTATGGGTGAGGGGGTAGTCAGGCTATGCAGCACAGAGGGCCTGGAATCTATGCTTTAGAAGGATCTGCCTGATAATACTGGAAGTATAACTCATGGCAGTGGGGGCTGAGGCTGAGGAGAAGCAGCAGGAGTAGGCCCAGGCCAAGAAGTGACCCCACCCTCAGCTTACACTGTCAAAGAAGGGCCGGATGCGGATAGCCATGTGCAGCAGCACAGAGCGCAGGTCCCAGGGCTCCATCAGGTCCAGCAGCCGAGTGAGGCCCACCATAGCCTCCAGGGCCACCAGCCTGTGTGGGTCATCATTGTCATCTAGCCCGTTGATCATGGCTGTTAGGAGCTGGGGGCCGTAAGTCCTCACCTGGGGATTCCCGCACTTAAGTCTGTGTGTGGCTCCCCAGCCCCCAACAGTTGCACTCCTTTCCCACCTGCATGCACCTCCCATCACCCTGTCCATGCCCACCTGGTTACAACCAGCTAAACACTCCAGCCTCCTCCCATTAGGGGTCTGGGGCACACTGCCAGGGCCCACCTTGTCAGGTGAACTGGAGGCAATGTTAGCCAGCCCACGGAGCAC